TTAAATTTTGAAGCACATTTCTCACGCTGCTGCTTTGTTGCTCTGAATTTTTATAGGACAAAGCACACTTCCAGAGTCCCCACTCATTGGCCCATTCACATATAAATTAGAAAAGAATAAACAGGCTATAATTGCTTGAAATCTCGGAGCTCTGTAATTGCAAATGACCCTATACTATCATCTCTATATCCTACTTGCATATTAGCATTTCCCACACACATCACATGCATCTGGAATTCTGGATCATACAAGTTAATTAATTTGCTTGTTTTTCCATTCTTGATCGATTTAGAAAACCAAGTTCAGCAAGTCATTACATCAATCAAACAACACAATTAAGGACAAAAAGCAAGTCATATTCGAATCATAATTAAAAGTATTAGGATTTTAATATTTCTCCCCTGTATGTGAATTAGTTTATGAGATGGTGTGTGATTCACTTTGCTATCTGCCATTGGTTCTGTGTGCTTTCATTTCTTTGAGTTCATAAAATCAAGTTCTGCATTTAAGTCATTACATCAGATAAAATAGCATAAAGAGTGCTCTAAAGCTATATGTTTCTCAAAAGGGTTTAGAGTTTATCTCAGATTTGAAACATAAACTAGGAGATGAGCTCGAAAGCAATATGTATCTCAAAAGGGTTTAGGTTTTATCTAAGATTTGAAACCTAAACTAGGAGATGGGAGGCCATCATCATCATGCATCAGAATGCATTGCAGGGAAGATGAACCTCAGCAACTTTGTTATCCCTTTTCTGCCTCGTGGCTTCTTGTTCTTGATAAGCAATTTTTTTTTCTCGCTCTCGGCCTTCTTACGCTTGAGCAAATTGACAAGTCCTTGAAGAGCAACATCAGCATCTTCACTCTTCATGAGCTCCTCGGCAACCTCTGCAGGGGTCACCTCTGTGCTCTCTATCAACCCTTCAATTTCCCCGCAACGGTGGTGACGATTGTTGTCACCAATGCCAAGGTAGTTAGAGGCCAAGATCCTGAACCCACTGGTGGTGCAATAGGACAGGTGAATGTGGACGTCCATTCGACCAGGACGCAGCAGTGCAGGGTCAAGCCGATCCTTGTGGTTTGTGGTGAACACAATAATTCTCTCATCGCCACAGCTTGACCACAATCCATCTATGAAGTTGAGCAGGCCTGATAGTGTCACCTGTAGCACCATGTCAAGGCCACAGTAACATGGATATCAAACTCTGTTATTAACAGGACAAATGACCAAATTCCATACACGAAATAAACTATCAAAATAAAACTAAAGGGACTTGAGGGGAATTCAAACTTCAAACTAGTGGAATCAAAACTGTAAATTAGTCTTACATATATTAAAAATTGAACCTTTCATCGTCAAGTTTAAGTATTTTTAAATAAAAAAGGTACTCACCTGGTCATCTGAATCCGAATCCGAATCCGAATCTGATGCCCTGTTTCCAACATCCACTCTGCAGCAATCAATATCCTCGATTACCAAAATAGAACGATTTGTGGTGGACAGCAACACCCTCTTCAACACAGCGTCGCTATAAATACTAGCAAGCTCCAAATCATACACATTGAACTTGAGATAGTTAGCCATGGCTGCTATTAGGCTGGATTTTCCAGTACCAGGTGGGCCATACAGCAAGTAGCCTCTTTTCCAAGCCTTGCCCACCTTCTTGTAAAACTCCCTCCTCCTCACAAACATCTCCAAATCCTCAATAATGGTTCTCTTCAGCTCTGTGTCCAGCGCCATTGTCTCGAACGTGGACGGGTGCTCCAGGTTCACCGAGCCCCACTCGGAGCAGCCGTCGTCGTCCTCATCACTGCGCGACCGGTAATGACGAGTGTAGAGCTTGACAACCTTTTCCTCTGCTTTGATGGCATCGGCCTGAGCAAGCACGAAGGGCAGGTAAGCCTTCAAAACCTTGTCTTTGTGTTTCTTGCAGAAGGTCAGCTCGAAGAAACGTTTCGTAGAAGTCATGTCGCTCTTGCCGAGCTTTTTGGTCTCCACCAAGAAACGCCACCTGAGCTTGACATTGTCGAAGGTGTCGGTGACTTCCTCGTCTTCGTCAATGGTGACGCCGATGGTCTTCTTCCGGGGCGTTTTGCCAACGCGGAGGCGCACAGTGGAGGGACCGATCTTTGTCCGGAGATAGACCTCGGCGGCATCGTAGACTTGGTTGCGCGTCATGCCGAAGTACTGGTCGATGAGCAGAGTGAACTCGACGGAGAAGAAAGGTGCAAAAATGTAATTGATGGCCTTGTAGATGTAGGAGCGGAGAGGGGCCGGGATGAGCTCGTTGGCCATGGAGCGCACCAGCATCATGAATGCTGTGAAGGAGGCATAGGCTGAAAGCAGAGCCGATGGTGTTGTTGGCATCTGATCTTTCAGATCGTTGAGAGAAAACATTGTGTCGTTTTTTGTTTGTTTTCAAACAGATGGGTTTTTGGCAGAGGAGGTTGGCTAAGAAGAAGTATTGATGTTGTGTAATTTTATTTATGAATTAGCGACATTAAAGTTTGTTTGATGTCCCTATCTCTGTTTCAGAGAGTTGCAGAGTTTCAGATAGCAGCTATGCACTCATTTTGGTGCTAAAAGAAGAACTGGCAAAGGGTTGTCAGTAATTAAGCTCAAATGCATATATAGCAAAGACTTGCTGTCCAAGGAGCATACCAACTGCATTTCCCCCACACACAAAAAGGCATGATATTTTTAGTCCACATATTTTGAATGCATCAAGACATTGTTTGACTGTACTGCTGCAGGAGAGAGATTGGAGTTGGAACCACATCTAGAGAGAGAGAGAGAGAGAGAGAGAGGGGGGAGACTGTAGTTGCTCAAAGCACATTTCTCTCACCCTGCTGATTTCCTCTGAATTTGACAAAGCCCATTTCCACAGTTCCAAAATTCTTTGGACCATTCAGATACAAATTACAAAACCCAACATTCATAACAAATTTTTGTTAAACAGATAAGCGAAGTCCCAAACGCACACACAGTCATATTGGAAAGTCAAAATCACCAAAGATGGAAGTTGAACAAGTTTCTGATCCGTCTTCTACGACGTCGTTTCTTCTTGGTTTTCAATTTCTTCATGTACCTCTCAGTCTCAATCTTCTTATTTATGATGAAATTGACAAGTCCCTGAAGAGCAACATCAGCATCATCACTCTTCATGAGCTCCTCCGCAACCTCAGCAGGTGTCACCTCTGTGCTCTTTATCAACCCTTCCACTTCACCACAGAGGCGAGGGCGGTTGTCGTCACGAATTCCGAGGTAGTTAGAGGCTAAGATCCTGAACCCACTTGTCGTGCAATACGACAGGTGGATGTGGAGGTCCATTCGGCCAGGACGTAGCAATGCAGGATCAAGCTTCTCCTTGCGGTTGGTGGTGAAGACAATAATTCTCTCATCACCGCAGCTTGACCACAAACCATCAATGAAGTTCAACAAGCCCGATAGCGTCACCTGCATCGTGCAACATATTGATTGAATCTATAACACCAAAATGTATAACAAACAAATATAAAGTATACTAACCCCGGTCTTAGTATTAGGTTTCGACTTCTTCTCCGTTTCTGAATCTGAATCCGAATCAGAATACGAATCTGAATCTGAATCAGAATCCGAATCATGTTTTCGTTTTTGAACATCCACCTTACAGCAGTCAATGTCCTCAATGACCAAAATGGAACGGTTTGTGGTAGACAGCAAAACCCTCTTCAAATGAGAGTCGCTGCGAATGCTAGTAAGCTCCAAATCAAACACATCAAAGTTGAGAAAATTAGCCATGGCCGCAATCAGGCTGGATTTTCCGGTGCCCGGCGGGCCATACAACAAGTAGCCTCTTTTCCAAGCCTTGCCCACCTTCTTGTAAAACTCCCTCCGACTCACAAACCTCTCCAAATCCTCTACAATGGTTCTCTTGAGATCTGGCTCCAGCGCCATTGTCTCAAACGTAGCCGGGTGCTCCAGGTTTATGGATCCCCATTCAGTGTTGCCATCCTCAACGACGTCCTCCCATGACAAGATATGACGTGTATAAATCTTGAGAACCTTTTCTTCTTGCCCATCCCTCTTCCTTTGTGTTGCTTGCGGAACCACGGCTCAAAGTAGCGCAGCCTGTTGTTGTTGACGAGCCTCCACTTGAGCTTGATGTTGTCGAACGTGTCGATGACTTCCTCGTCTCTGTCGATGGCGACGCCCATGGACTTCTTCCGGGGAGTTTTGCTGACGCGGAGACGCTGCGTGGCGGGGCCGATCTTTTTCTCGAGGTAGACCGCGGCGGCATCGTAGACTTGGTTGCGGGACATGTCGGAGTACTCGTAGAAGGCGAGAGTGAGGTAAAAAGAGAAGAGGCCGGAGAGAGGGCTAAAAAGGTAACTGAGGGAGGAGGAAATATAGGTGCGGAGAGGGTCCGGGATGAAGTCGTTGGCCATGGAACGGAAGACCATCATGAAGGTTGCAAAGGAGGCATAGGCTGAAAACATAGACGACGCCGTTTCCGGCATGACATTGTTGAGAGAAAACATTTGTGTTGCCCTATAATTCAAGTCCCAAAGGGTAGCAAGTGAGGTGAGATTTATAATGAGCCACAACTTGAGGTGCAATCTTTTGTTCATTAATGAAGGGTAGTTGCTTAGTTTGCAAAGCTCAAAGTCGGTCATGACTGTCTTGACCGTATCTGCACCTTTATCCAACTCATAAGTCTTCATGAGTTGACTTGGTGTCAGTTGCAGCTCATGGGATGAAGTTATTAATAGCTGATTTTATAAAATTTATTTCTCTAGATCTATATTTATGAAGACTAATAACACAATTATTATTATTATTATTTATTTTGCAATGGACTAAAAACACTATTGACCAAAAACAGACCCCAAAAAAATTTAAATCCTGATGCAAATATAACAGATATCCTAAACAATGTAACATTCCCTCAAAAAAACAATGTAACAATGTATGGCTGAAAAACAACCAATTATTCCCAAACGGGTTTCTTCAAAATACTTTCAGGAGTTCGTTGAAAATATTTTCAAACGTTTCTTCAAAAGAGAAAACCTAGAAGATTTTTTCTGCTTCTTTTCCTTAGCCTCTTCTTCCTCCTTTTTTCTCTCCCTCTCGGCCTGGTTATGTTTGAGGAAATTGACAAGCCCTCCAAGCGACACTTCAGCGTCGTCACTCTTCATGAGCTCCTCAGCAACCTGTGCAGGAGTGACCTCTGTGCTCTCTATCAACCGTTCGATTTCTCCAAACAGGCGGTGATCTTCACCGTCGCGAATACCAAGGTAGTTAGAGGCCAGGACCCTGAACCCGCTTGGAGTGCAATAGGACATGTGGATGTGGACGTCCATTCGACCAGGACGCAGTAAGGCAGGGTCAAGCATTTCCCTGCGGTTTGTGGTGAAGATTATGATTCTTTCGTCACCGCAGCTTGACCGCAAACCATCTATGCAGTTCAATAGGCCCGAGAGTGTCAATGGCTGCCATTAATTATCATCCAAAAATTAATTAATTTTAATGAACACAGAGAATTTTTTATTATAAAATGTTGGATCAGATAAAAAACAAAACGGAGGAAAATAAAAGTAGCCAACCTACTGACCTTTTTATAAGAATACGTTTCTTTACTAGACTTGTCCTGATCATCATCCCGGTTTTGCAAGTTAATGCTGCAATCAATATCTTCAATGACCAAAATAGAACGATTTGTAGTGGACATCATGACCCTCTTCAATTCAGAGTTGTCTTCAATAGCTGCAAGGTCCAAATCATAGACGTTAAACTTGAGATAATTAGCCATGGCCGCAACCAAGCTGGACTTGCCAGTGCCAGGTGGGCCATACAACAAGTAGCCTCTCTTCCAAGCCTTCCCCACCTTGCTATAAAACTCCCTCCTCGCCACAAACCTCTCCAAATCCTCTATGATCATTCTCTTGAGCTCCGGATCCATGGCCAACTTGTCAAACGTGCACGGGTGATCCAGATTTATGGAGCCCCAGTTTTCATTGTCCTCGTCGTCGTCGCCGCACCAATAATCTAGGTTAGTGTAAAGCTTGAGCGTTTTCTGCTCTTCTTTTAGGGTTTTGGCCCGAGCCAGCACGTAGGGCAAGTAGTAGTCGATCACTTTGTCCTTGTGCTTCTTGTGGAAAGTCAGCTCGAACCGGTGCTTTTCCTTTTCCTTTTCATCCTTACTGCCGTTGCGGGGCTTCTCGAGGGTCACCACGTAACACCACTTCATCTTAACGCCGTCAAAGGTGTCATCGAGTTCCTCGTCCCTGTCGATCGACACGTTGATCGCCTTGATACGGGGCAATTTGCTGACGCGGAGGCACCTCACGGAGGGGCCAATTTTCATTCGCAGGTAGACCTCTATGGCCTCGTAGAGTTCGTTATAGGTCATGCCGTAGTGCTCGTCGAACAGGAGGGTGACCTCGCGGGAGAAGAAAGGGGCAAAAAGGTGATTGAAGACTGAGTACATGTATGAGCGGAGTGGTTGGGGCATGAGTTCGGTGGCCATGGAGCGGACTAGCATCATGAACCCAGCAAAAGAGGCGTAGGCGGACAACCATACCGACGCGGATGCCGCCGTGGGCATGTAATAGTCAACCATCGTGGGAGGTTGACTATTATTTGACCTTGCAATGCAATAGCTAGTTGGTCTAAGAGGGTTAGGAGAAAGCAAGGAAGCGTGGTGTTTTTATAAGTAACTATCGGCGAGTTCTTATGTAATTAGGATTTAGGTTTCTTACTATGTTAGGATTTTGAAAAAGAATAAATATATAAGCATAGATGAACATATCTGAATATTTCTCATGCTTCATTTGACAAAAGCTTTAACCTAATTCCTTTGTCAAAATATCAAGTAACATCCAAAGTAGACCATGTTTAGGGCTGAAATTTTAACATTATTTCCTTTCAAGTCTTTTAATACAAGGGACTTGCCGCCACTTGTCCGGTATGTTTTAATTATATAAAAGTTCCGAGGAGCTTTCCAATTATTTTTAATTTTGTTCTTGCTCCCAATACAATTATTAGCATTCCAAAATTCATATAAAACATTTTTTTTTATTTGAAAAATCCTAACCTCCTAAAGTTTCCAAAAAATCGTAATTTTGTGTGTGTAGATAAAGTTCTGGAAGTGAAGACCATTACCCAGTCAATAATATTATTATTGAAATTTGGACGAAAGTTCATATGATTTCCCAAATTATTTCAAAGGTTATCATGAAAAGGACAATCTCTATGTGACCTTTTCTAAGAAGGTTTTGTTACTAACCCGTTGACTTTCATTGTAGGCAACATGTTTGGGTTCAAGGCCATGCACGCTCTACATCTGGAGGATTTGCGAATCCCTCATGCTTATGTTAAAACTTTTCAAGACCTGCCTCATGAGATTCAAGTTGAGAGAGATAAATTGAACAAGTAAGGTCGTCCCCTATTATGATGTACTATTAAACTTAAATTGGGATCATCCACTAAGAATTACGATATAGCAGTTTATGAACGTCTCCGCAGCGGACTTGATTTTACCAAAAATGATGAGAATATTAATTCCCAACCATTTATGCATGGAAGGACTGTTCTTATTTTGTGCCGAAGCAATTTGTGATTTAAAAAAATAAATAAATAAAATTTGTCGCTGACATCATAGCCCTCAGAAGAGCTCGAGCTATTCTTGTCTTTGGGGCTACCACAGATTGGTGGAGCCCAAGCCTTGGCTTGGCTGTTTTGTATCGCTAGAGGTGCATTTCTTGGCCTAGGCAGCCTTTTGCCAAGGCTAGACCTCACGCTGGAAGTTCTCTTACTTTTTTTTTAAAAAAAATTCCCATTTTTATAAATTTTATTTGAAATAATAGTGGGCTATGGTATTTTAGGAATAATGGTAAGTGAAAAGATAGGATTGTGTTTTTCAAATTTACGTAGTATGAGGTAAGATAAGGTGGGTGAGAAAATACTGTGAGAATACGAAGGTAAAAACTCTCATATAGGAAAGTCAAAAACGCTTCCAATGGCTTATAAGGAGTTGGGTTACTCCCTATTGCCAATTGGTTTTGAGGTGGAACCTCAACTTCGTCATGGTATCAGAGCAGGTTGCCCATATGTGAAAGCCCAACTGCCACACGTGCTCCATGTCACCCAAAATGTGTTGTCTACATGTTAGGCTTGAAAATTTGCCACACGTAAAGATAAAAAGTCCCATATTGGAAAGTTATAAAACCTTGCAAGGGCTTATAAGGATTTGGGTTACTCCCCCCATTGCCAATTGGTTTTAGGGTGGAACCTCAACTTCCTTCAAATAAGATTGGGGGGGAGATGTGGGGTTGAAAATAGCAGCACTCAAAAGGAAATATGTATAGTTTTTCAACCTTAAGAATGAAAGAATGAGGTAATGAGATAATATTTCAAAAAGAGAGAGATTGACCAAAAAAAAAAAACATAAGGAGAATGAGATAATAATTCGGTTAGAATTTACGAAAATGAAATAATATTATTCTTTTTCATTTTTTTTTATATTGATTCTCTTGTAACCTCTCACAATACCATATCAAGTGCTAGTCACGTAAAGGAAAGTTATGAGTGTGGGGAAGTATTCGTATACACTCGTTACATTTTATTTTTCTAAATATTTCGCAAAAGAAAAAAAAACATGGGACCTCTCAACAAGCCTCATGTAGGTGTGTGTACATACAGCGTCTAGTATGGGCGCTCGTCCTCGGGCTGGTACATGGGATCGTAGCTGCAAATGACGTAGTTCTTTCCATCCTTGCACTTTGAAATGCCACATCCCACCTCGGTGGTTTTGCCCCAGATCACAGCAAGGTAGTGACCGCATTCGTCTTTAACGCATTTGTTGGACTTGGGGTCATAGAACTCTTTCTCGGTGACCCAATATTTAGTGGCAGCTGCGCCGGTCATGCCGTCGCCGGAGGTCAAGTTCTCACCCCAACGCCCCCTTGAGTGCTCCATAGCGCAGTCATCAACTCTTTTGTTGGCATATTCTTGGGCATACTGGGCCAAGGTCGTGTTCCACTTAAGGGGTTTGTTGCCGACCTCTTTACGAGCCTTGTTGTGCTCCTCGAGGAAGCCATCGATCTCTGCTTGGGAAATGTTTGCAGAGACAAGAGTGAAAACCAATGCAACGCAGCAGATGGCCAAAAGAAGCTTCGTGTTGAACGCCATTTTTGTTTCTTGATATGAGAAGTTTAAGGTCTTTTCTTTGTATCAGAGAAGGTTGGACAGTTAGATGTTGATTGAAATGAGAAATGAGATTGTGCATATTTATATAGTTGGGAGGGTTAAATATAGGATCCTAAAATGGGAGGGTTTGTTAAGTTCTATAAACAAGCATGGAGAACCAATAAAACTTGTGTGGGATTGCGTCGCGGAGTGGATTTGGTATCCATACAAACATTGTATTGTTAGTCAAGTTATACCATTGATTAAGTGAAGTTTTATTTGAATCGTATATTACAGTATAGGATCAAAGTTTTGACTTTGTTAACGATATAAATGAACTTTGTTATATGGCCCTTTTGTCAACTTGTTGTAGCTTTTATAAAAAAAAGTTAAATGCATTATGCTTCTTTCCAAAATGTAAAGAAATGAAAGAGGAAGCAAATTAGTTAGGCAAAAACTCACTTTTCATCTAGTTTGACGAAATTCTAGCAATTTGACCTATGTAGTTTGATTTTATTGCAATTTAAAGGACATTTCCAAATTTTTGTCCAATTTCTTGATGGAATAACCACTTGTCTCTTACATGGAGGAGTATTTTGGACAGAGTTTTGGATGGACATTTGGATGTGTCCTTGACTTATGATAGAACAAACTTCATGAGTTAAATTGACAAAATTAAAATAAAAAAATCCGTCAAGCTAGAAGGACCAAAAGTGACATTTTTCCAATTAATTATGGATGTAGAGGAAAACATTTTTCATGTTTTGCGTCTCTTGGTCTTCCACAAACTTTGGGCCTCATACTCTCAAGCTGCCCAGATCAGATTGGAGTTGTTTGGGCAATGAAAAACACTTGCTAGTTTTCTTCGCATTTGGGCCCATTGTAGGAAAAAGGAAGAGTGCTGTTATTTTCACCCACCTGTCATATTTTCCTACCCATCTTATCTTCAAAATTTTAAAGACAAATTCCTTTATAAAAAGACTTCTAAGGACTTAAGGAAAAAATATTTGATTTTTAATATGATGTTCAAAATAATTAACTTTAATATAAAATGTAATATTTAAAATTTAAAAAAAAAAAAAAAAACCTTTAACAAAGGGAAAGCTTTAAAATTCAAAATTCATCTCCAGCTTTTCATTAAAATAAAAATAAAAATAATCTCCAACAGACCTTACCTTCTTCCCTAAATCCATCTCATTCTTTCTCTCTCTTCTTCCATTTCTATCTTCCTTCATCTTCCATGCACCCTCCAAAGCAGCAACGCCTCTGCTTATCACCGCCACAAGCTTCCCTTGCTGCACCAGATCCAAATAGTTCAAACTCAGCCCAACCTTATTTCCCACTTCGATCGTAGTCAACCACAACCCCCACTTTTGCTTCCTCACCAAATTGAAATCCTTCTATCCAACCGACCTCATCATCTTGTCGATGCCAAGAAATTCTTGAAAATTGAATTTGATTCGTTTTTTCGGTTAGAAAGTTGTGTAGTTCTGTTGGATAGCCTCTTTTAATTCCAAATTTCACTCCTCTTCTTTTCTCGTCATTTTTTAGAATCAACACAGTGAACAAAAGAGTTAGATAGAGAGAGAGAGACATAGAGAGACAAAGACAGAGACAGAGATAGAGATGAGACTGTTGTGTTAAGAGTATTTGTCCCACATTGAAAAGTTAAAAGACTTAGCCAGGAGTTGGGCTACTCTCCCAATGTCAATTGGTTTTAGGGTGGAACTTTAACTTCCTTCGTGGTATCAGAGCAAGGCTTCACGTGTTGGCCCAATGGCCATACTTGCTCCCACGTCACCCAATATGTATTGTCCACATGTTAGGCTTGAAAGTTCGCTACACATGCTGGGCCGTGTTGAAAATACTTGTCCCACATTGAAAAGTTAAGGGATCTAGTCTGGATTTAGAAGGAGTTGGGCTACTCCCCCCATTGCCAACTGGTTTTGGGGTGGAACCTCAACTTCTTTCAGTGTATCAGAGCAACGCTTTAAGTGTTGGGCCCAACAGCCGCACGTGCTCCTACATCACCTACTATATGTTGTCCACGTGTTAGGCTTGAAAGTTTGCCACATGTGAGGGGTCGTGAGAGTGTTTGTCCTACATTGAAAACTTAAGGGACTTAGCCTGGGTTTATAAAGAGTTGGGCTACTCTCTCTTTGCCAACTAGTTTTGGGGTAGAACTTTAACTTCATTCATTTTGTGATGGGCAGGTGTTGGAGTTAGGTTGAAGCAATGGGTTGGTGTTGTTTGTTAGATTTTTGCTTCATTCATTCACTGGAAAAAAATCCGCAACTCTTTCACTGAAAAAACTTTACAAAAGTGGGATTGCAGAGAAAGGGTTCGAGGGATGGGGTAGGGAATTTTTTTTTTTTTTTTTTTTTTTTTTTTTTTTTTGGTTTTTGGTTTTTGGTTTTTGGTTTTTTTTTTTTTTGCTTCTTTAGTTTTTAAAGATTTAATTATTTTTAACCGAAAATTGGATGAACTTCATGGAAACTAACTGCATGGGCTAAATTGGCCATTTAAAATAGTTTGATGGTTAAATTGGCTGAAAAAATAATTCAGGGTGGACATTTCGACAAACGTTATAGTTCAGGGGGATTTTCGGCAGTTTACCCTATGAATTATGAAAAAAAGATGTCTACTTCATATATGAAATTAAAAGAAAACACAGTACAGTTAAAATATGTCCATTTTTATATTATATATACCAGCGTCCAACTTTAAAAAAAAAAAAAAAAAAAACATGATTCCTCTTCCCAGAAGAAACCCCAACACGCTTCCTCTTTTTCCACGCAACACATACTCCTAGTTTCTCCATGGAAGAACATACTCTCCATTTAATCCACCGAGCTCTTAATCCACCACCTTATTATTCTACGTTTTCCTAATCTCTCTTCAATCCATCCATTATTTCCAGTTTCTCTCATCCCTCTTTTACCCTATTATAACCCTAAGAATCGATCTCTCACTGAAAGCTCACAATTTTTCTTTTTTGATCTTTGTCTTTGAGATTCATGGTGACCTAAGAGGAGAGGAACATGAGAATTTGAAAAGGTAATCAGATTTATGAATTTTTCTTTATATTTGTTCCTATCGAGCAAACTATTTTTTCAATTTTCAATAGGAACAAAACACATTATATAAGCAAACCACAAACTCTTTCCTTGGGCTATGGGTTGATGGAACGTTGGTTTGAAAATTTGTAATTTCCTTCATGATATTAAATATCTGATCCGAATTATTTTTTTATGGAGATATGTCCTACTATAATGCATACTACCTTTTTTTATTCACGTGCAGTGCGTGAAATAAAATCATTATATATATTTTTTCTTTCTCAATTATATACTAAGGAAGGGGCCTCATTTAGTTTATTGCTTAAGCCACCCAAAAATCAAGACCGGCCCTGCCCTTTCTCCAATATGATATCAACCCAGGCCCAGCCCCCTTTGCCCCACCCCAACTCTCCATGCCCTGCATCCTTTTCCCCTTGCTCTTTTTAATAATTATTACTTTCTTCGGTCCTTTAAATCGTACCCTATGCACATTATCTTGTTAGATGGGGGAAAGGGAGAGATAGTGCAGAGAGAGAGAGAGGGAGCATAAATTTATTTTTATTTTTTGATTTTTAATTTGTATGAAATTTAAAATTTAAAATATTTTAAAAATATATATATTGTATATTAAATACATGGGGTTATTCGTAGCAATTGTCCCTAACTATACTCGAAGTTACATTTTGGTCACTTAACTCAAATATTAGTTGCAGAGGTCACTCAATTGGGTGTTGTGTTGCACCATTAGTCTATACCGTTAAGTCTGTGACTTTTTCTGTTTAAAATGATGACGTGACAAACATCTCTTAGATTATTGATGGGCAAATGTGACTTTTCAATTAGGATTATTTGTATCAATGATCCCTCAATTATACTCAGAGTTACATTTTGGTCACTCAACTCCAAAAATAGTTACAGAGGTCACTCAATTGGGTGTTGTGTTGCACCATTAGTCCATTAGTCCCTACCGTTAGAGAAACTTGACGATATGGACTAATGGTGCAACACAACACCCAATTGAGTGATCTCTGTAAACTAATATTTGAGTTGAGTGACCAAAATGTAACTCCGAGTATAATTGAGGGACCGTTGCTATTATTAGATAGGTGGGCTCATATATGTGCCACATCAACAAATTAATAGAGTTATTTTGACATAACCTAACGACTATTTGTGAGCACGAATAATAACCTTGAGACATAATTTGATAATTTTGTGAACTTCGGATGTTTTGTGATATAAAGCGTATAAAAAAATTTGGGGGTGGCAATATTTAATTGAGATATTTAACCATATACCCATTCTTAGCATTAAAACTATAAATAAACCCTACACCATTTAATTTCTATAAATAAACCCAAAAAATAATAGCTAGGCTTATTAAATTTAATTTTCATTATTAAATTACTTTGATGCACTATTGAGTGTTTGAGCTTTTTTACGAGGTTTTGGGGTTGACTTTGTTTTAAGAAATCAATAGTAGTTTTGTAATTTAAAAGAAATTATAAGCTTTTTTGTTACGTTGTAAATGAATTTTGAGTTTTTTTAAAAATAATTTGGGCTCCTATATTTGATATAATAGCAAAGGTTCTATTTAATTTTCTAAAAATTTCCCGTAAATACAGCGTAGTCGAGCATAGGTAGCCGCAGCAAAGAAATGTCCAAGGAGCTTCGAACCGGCGGAAATCTTCGAAAATGGCGGTTCACATGGGAAGCCCAATCTCACATCCCAACCCTCCGCTTGTTCCTCTTCGATTCATACACAAAACCCTCGATTCAATGCGAGAAGCTCAGCGTCCTCATATGCCCCTCAGAGTCTCTGGTCCTGGTGAGCTGGACCGAGGACGCCCAAGTCTCGCTTAGGGTTCCAATGCCTAGGGTTTTGGTGGATGCTGACTCTCCTGTGAGCTTCAGTGCCTTAGATGATCACATTGAGGTCAAGCTCGTCCTTCTTCTCCCTGTTGATCACCCTATTGTTTTGAGCTTCGATTCTATACTCAGTTTGAATGAAG